AACTATAACCACAACGAAATACCATCTCACACCAGTAAAAATGGTTATTATTAAAAAGTCAAAAATCAAAAACAAACAAACAAACAAACAAAAAAAAAAAACAGATGCTGGCTAGGCTCCAGAGAAAAGGGATTGCTTATACACTGTTGGTGGGAATGTAAATTAGTTCAGCCACTATGGAAACCAGTTTGGAGATTTCTCAGAGAACTTAAAATAGACTTAACCATTTGACCTAGAAACGCTATCATTTGGTATTACTCAAAGAAAAATATATTATACCAAAAAAGACACATGCAATCATATGTTCATTGCCACACTATTCCACTATAGCAAAGACATGGAAGCAACCAAGGTGCCTATCAATGGTGGATTATATAAAGAAAACATAGTACATTTACACCACGGAATACTACACAGCCATCAAGAATGAAATAGTATTTTTGGTAGCAGCATGGATAGAGCTGGAGGTCATAGTACTAAGTCAATTAATGCAGAAACAGAAAATCAAATTCTATATGTTCTCACCTATATGTGGGAGCTAAACATTGAGCACACATGGACATAAACCCAGGAACAATAGATAGTGTGGGCTACCAGAGGAGGGAGGAAGGGAGGAAGGCATGGATTGAAAAACTACCTATTGAATACTATGTCATGACCTGAGTCCCATATACCCAAGTAACAAAACTGCAAATGTATCTCCTGTGTCTAAAACAAAAGTTGAATTAAACAACAACAACAACAAAAAAATCGCCTTTGGGAAAAGGCTTCAAGACCAGTTTACAAATCACTTTGAGAAAAGGCAGCTTTGTTACTAAGATAACAGTAGCCACCTATAATGTTTACTGTATATATGGAAATTGGTAATAAATGTAGCTATGTTGGTAAAATACACTTTAAGTTGAAAAATATTAGAGGTAAGATTTAAAAAGAAGGGATAATATGAACTTATCTAAGGCTATGTACCCTTACTGACTGCCTTGTTTGGGAATTTTTTTTTTAACACATAAATATCTTTATAGCTGTTTTTCATTGAATTTTAGTTTTATAATGTATATTTTAAACTCAATAGTAATTGCACTTTTACCCATCTCTAATACAATATTTCTTTTCTCTAAGAAGCAGAACAATTTCAGAATCATAACTTTCGGTGAAATCAATCAACTGATAAAAATGGCAGGTTCACACCGCTGTTCAGAGTACAGTGTTGATGAAGACAAGTTCACAGGTTTGATCCTTGAGTGGGCCCATTTACATTGCCACCGGCAGTCCCTCAGACCCAGGCCTGACATCCTGAAAATGGGAGCCATCAGTCATAAGGAGAAGCTTTGAAAAAGTATGGGTGAAGTAGAGCTAACTTATCCCCATTTCGGGAGAACAGCTCCAATACAAACCAGTTAAAAGTTATGCCATGGCATTTCTCTTGTAAATGAAAGAGGGAACGTGGCTGGGCTCAGTGGTTAAGCCTGTAATCCCAACCCTTTGGGAGAGTGAGGCAGGAGGATTGCTCGAGTCTGGGAGGTCAAAGCAGCAGTGAATCCTGATTGTGTCACTGCACTCCAGGCTGAGCAACAGAGCAAAATTCTCTCAAGAAAAAAAAAAAAATTAGAGGGAACTTTCTTCCAAATATAGTGATTGGTCCTGGTCAGAATATAAACCTGATCTTCAGAAATGTACTTTAAGATCAAGTATGTCAACAATTACTGAGCTAGTAATCAATTATTAGATTGATGTGGGGAGACAACAAAATAGTATATAAATTGATTTGTAATATATTCTTTGTTAACTTCCCATAAAGATTGGCTTCTGCTCAAAGAGAAAATGTAACTACTAGCTAAGAAATTATAGTAATAGATTGGCTAGAGTGAAAACCATCAAAACATTCTGTGTCAAAGTTTTATTTCACTCATTAGTGAGAGAACTAGCAAGATGACAAAGGTAGTTCTAAAGAGTATTTGAGAAATCGAAACTTTTAGTTTGTAGAGAAAAAAAGTGAAATAAAGTACCAAATTAGATACAAAGTTTGTAAAACTATTATAGGACAACAAAACCATCACTCCTTATCAGTTTTAAAGAACTATAAAAAATGTCCTTCATCGGTTCTGTAACAAAGCCATATTCTGTTAGAGAACATTAGAAACATCTCGGAAGTTTTTAGAGCTGCCAATAAAGTCTTACCTCTGATATTCTGATTTCGTTGGAAACAGGTGAGGTCTGAGTGGAAAGAGTTTTGAAACCTCCTCAGGTGACTTTTAGGTGCAAGCAAGTTTGAGAACCACTGGATTAGAGAGAGACATGGACTTTTACATGGGTTTTCAAAAATTTGCCCTAGCCTCTTGCTACTCAAAATGTGGCTCATGATTCAGGAGCATTGATAACACCTGAGACTCTTTAAAATTGAGTACCTGGGCCCCCACACCAGATGCACCGAATTAGAATCTACAATTTAAAAATATTGCCAGGTGATTCAGGAGCATATTAAACTTTGAGAGACACTTCTGCAAAATCATATTGAAATGACTGCAATCATCTTTTTGCCTCATTTCCAAGTTTTAGGAAACTTTTCCTAGGATAACACCAACATGAAACTTCCACCATACAAAAACATTTAAAATCTTTAAAATTGGCAAATATCATTAAAAAGACCTCAGGTAGCACTCTAAAGATAAGAATGTTTGTGATGAAGGGAGTCAGCTACAAGCTGGAAATTCTGCACTATATCAGACAGTGGTCCCACTTCCAGGGATTCTCAGCTAGCAGTGGAACCTGGGACAACCGGACTCAGAATATTTAAGATAAACAGATAGTTGCTTAAGGGATCCTAAAGTTAAGATTATGTTTTATGTAGCCATCAGTCACCTTTATTAAGAGCTGCTGAGGACTCGGGGCAGACAGGTTTCACAGGTATCAGTGCCTAATTAGGAAAAGGTACAAAATTTTCAGTGAAAGTGTTTTAAGCCGCTTACCCAGCATCAAGTTGTTAAAATTTTGAAGGTCAATGTGCAACTCCAGATTTAATTTTAACTCAATTTTGCAAAAGCCTGGAAGGAAATTAACTGCCTTTTGACTATTAAAATTGGGGGCATAGCAATCAGGCATCAGTACCTTCCGTATGGCGATTGACACTCATATTCTCTTTTCTTTAAATAACTCAGGAAGAGGAACATTTTCCAGAGACTGTTAAGTGATTCAAGGTACTTACACATAACCAATAGGGAAATGGATCAAGTAAAAGGGTCCTTCAAGTTGCCAACTCTTCAATTTTTCTTAGTAAGATTAATGTGACAAAAGTATGAACTTTCTGAGGAAAAATTATCTTTGTATGGTAGAAGATTTCCTGCTGTCGAACATGGTGCTAAGCTAAGCATTCATTCTACAATCATGCTTAATTCATTCATTTAATTAAAAATACTAATATTTATCGATGCTTTTTATAATGGCAGGCACTCTGGTAGCTACTGGACGTACAATATTAGTCACTGCTCTCATAGAGCTTACAGTCTAACAAGACAAATAGAAGACTAATAGCAACAACAACATGAACAATAACAATTAATTAAAAGTTACATGGCTGCATAGTATTCCATAGTGTATATGTGCCACACATGGATGAAACTGGAAACCATCATTCTCAGCAAACTGACACAAGAACAGAAAATCAAACACCGCACATTCTCACTCATAAGTGGGTGTTGAACAATGAGAACACACAGACACAGGGAGGGGAACATCACACACTCTGGCCTAGGGGGGTTGGGGAGGAATAGCAGAGGGTGGAGGGATTGGGGAGGGATAGCATTAGCAGAAATACCTAACGTAGATGATGGGGTGATGGATGCAGCAAACCACCACCATGGCACATGTATTCCTATGTAACAAACCTGCACAATCTGCACATGTACCCTAGAACTTTAAATATAACAAATAAATATATAAAGAAAGAAAGTTAGTTTATGAAAGTGCTGGGAAAGCAAAAAGAGCATGTCATGGTGGAGAATAATTGTAGCAGCAGGTGCTACTTCAATAGGGTATTCAGACCTTCTCCCATTCTAAGACACCGTGCCCTATCGTAGAGAAAAAACACAGCAACCTAACCCTCTCTCACAGCTCAGCTGAGACCCATTATTTCCTCTGAGAAACATCATTTTCAACCCTTCAAAACCAAAGCAACATTTACTCTTCTTTGTCTGATCCAACCCTGGAGATATGTTTCTAATTTTACAGATGCTGATTTAGTGTCATATCAGCAGATTTAGCGTCACCCCTGGAGGATAGGTCCTAAGCCAGAAATTTTAGTCAATAGGTTATAAATTCCACTCTCCTGGTATGCAAATAATTTCAAGCCTGCTATTTTAGCATTTCAGGATATTCTCCTATCCACACCAATTATTTTATAGAGGGCTTTCTCAACAGTTGTACTATTGACTTTCTGGGCCAGAAAAGTTTTTATTGGGGGTGGGGGCTCTCCTGAGCACTGCAGATATTCAACAGGATCTGTGACCTCTACCCACTAGATTCCAGTAGCACCTATCCCCTCCCCAAGTTATGACAACCAAAATGTCTTGACATTGCCAAATGTCCCCTGGGTTGGAGGTCAAAATATGCTCCCCCACCTCTATTGAGAACCATTGAATTCACACTTTCGCTACTCTGTTGCTAGGTAGAAATACTGATTTAATTAGAGATTTAAACTACTCAAGACAGGTTCTCTCTGAGTTTAAGGTTCTCACAGGGTTTATGACCTCATGATAATACTGAAAAAATAACTTGTTACTTATTAAAACTAAAACCTCATTAAAACAGCTAAATTTAAACATTGAAAATTAAAATGCATCAGAGCCCTGGGTCAAGTGTTTAAATAAGTACAGCTGAAGGTGCTTTAGTGTCACTTCTCCAGGACACATGCAGACACCAAGACAAATAAGCATCTCGGCCACTGGATTTCCCTCCGTTGCTGAAATCTCTGCCACTGCAACAAGAGAACACTTTGTGTAGCTCACCATTTGTCAGTGAGGAGGATTATTCTGCTATTCTTTTGATTTAATTTCCAGGTCTTTCACACTTCTGGTTCCAAACAGATGAAGCTGGAAGAAAAAAAAGAAAAGAAGTTGTAAGATGCGTACAGTTGAATGAAGCATAGAGATCACTGTCTGTTAGATGTGTAACTTCTCACATAAGGAAAGAAGTAGAGAAAGCTCCTGCCCAACCTTGCTTAAGAGTTTATTAAGTTAATTTGCATATAATGCTTAATTTAGTAATGAACAATCTTTTCACAAACTGTTCTGTTAGCATTTATCAATTTGCAATTTCTTCTTACTGCCGTAGTAAGAGCTTCAAAAACTTAGAATATTTTGACAAGATGTTAGATAATGGATTTACAGTAAAGAGTATGGTGAATATTTAAAATTATGTAATTCTCAGAGCAATTTTTTAGAAAGTAACTATTTTCTGTTTAAAAATATTTTGCCTGGGAGTATAAGATGGTATAACTATTTTTCAGAACTGTTTGGCTACCTCTTACAAAGCTAAATTGCATCTATCCTATGACCAAATAAAATGAAAACATATATCCCAAAAAGACTTGTACAAAAATATCCATGGCAGTCTTATTTGTAATCGCCTAAAACTAGAAACAACTCAAATGTCCATCATAAGGAGACAGATATACTATCATTTTGTATAAATAAAATGGAATACTTACCTTTCAATAAAAAGAAAAAAAAGCTACTGATGTATGCAGTGTGCTGTAATCATGTACATTGCAGGAATTATGGTGATAAAAGCAAAACAGTCATTTATATGAAACTCTTGACAGGCAAAACTAATGTATGATTATTGGAGTCAGAAAATAATTACATATAGATGAGAGTGGAGAATTCACTGCAATAAGACATACGAGAGTTATGTGGGGTCATGAAAATATTTCATATCTTATTTTTAAAGACAATTACATGAGTTTATATCATTGTCAAAACTCAAAATTGAACAACTAAAAATTATGTTTTATTGCATATAAATTATAAATTATAAAACAATATAAAATGTATTACCTATTTATATTATAAAATGTAAAAAGAATAGACAAAAATACTCATAATTTCATCACCTGAAAATTATTGTCAAGCTGTTTGATAATATCTATTTATTTTGATTATGTTTTGAGGTTTTCTGAACCTTTAAACATAGAATTATCCCAGGGTGCAGTCCCTGAATATCCTTTCTTTTTTATTTGTACTCACTCTTTTTGTGATCTTATCTTGTTCCATGGCTTTTAATATTATCTTTGTAGTAATGGTTCCGCAGCTCTTTTCTGCCTACTTGACACTCAGGTAAATGTCTAATCAATATCTCAAACTTCATCTAAAATGGGACCCGAAATTTTCCACCAAATCAACTCATCTTATAGTTTTTCCATTTCAGTGAAATAAACTGATTCTTCCAGTGGCACAAGCCTAAACCTCAAATTCATACTTACTCCTTCCTTTCTCGAATCCACGTATTCAGGAATCCAACCATTTTTCACTCCTTCAAATGCTACCACTCTATTTTGAGCCACCAGTAATTCCAGTCTGGAGTATTATGTGGCTAACTAGTTGTATTAGGTTGTTCTTTGCATTGCTATGAAGAAATATCTGAGACTGGGTAATTTATGAGGAAGAGAGTTTTAATTGACTCATGGTTCTGCAGGAAGCATGGCACCAGCATCTGCTTATCTCCTGGTGAAGCCCTCACAGAACAGGCACATCACATGGCAAGAGCAGGAACAAGGTTGGGAGAGGTGTCACACACTTTTAAACAACCAGATCTCGTGAGAACTCACTATCATGAGGAAAGCACCAAGCCATGAGGGATCCACCCCCATAATCCAAACGCCTCTCACAAGGCCCTGCCTCCAACATTGGGGATTACATTTCAACACAAGAATTGGGCAGGAGAGACACCCAAATCACTAGTCTCCCTGCTTCCACCCTTTCTCCTCTACAGTTTATTTTCCACACAGCATGCAAAATGAACCTATGAAAACATCAGTTAAATCAAGTTACTCCTCTGCTGAAAATCTTTTAATGGCCTCTGCCTCATTCAGAGTACAGTGACATGAAGACCTTATGAGATCTGCCCAACTCAACATCCTTCACTTACCTCTTCATTCTCATATACTTCTACTGTCATCCTCAATTCTCTTCAGCTACAGCCCATCTTCTTGTTCTTTGAAGATACCAGGTATGCATACACTTCAGTTTCTTTACATCTCCTACTACATCTGTCTGAAATATCTTCCCCAAGATGTCTGCATTTCTCACCACTTCATCTCCTTTAGGTCTCACTTAAATGCCATCTTATCTGTGAGGCTTCTTCTGGCCACTCTAGCTAAAATTGCAAACTTTCTCCACCCAACATCCCCAATGCCTAGAATGGCCATATTATTTATGCTTCAGTGTAAGTGACTTAGCAATGTTCTTTGGATTTCCATTATCAAATTCCCTACTTTCTCTTCATTTATAGAGTTGAACTCAAAAGGGAGTTAGGGAGGTACACAACAATTAAGGCAAAAGAATGTGCATTCTCTGTAAACAAATCTCAATGTGGGTTTTTCATTAAAAAAAATAAAATAAATGGCAGAAAAGGAGTTGACTAAAACAAAAAACAAACAAACAAACAAAAAACTGGCAAATCTGCACAGGCTAAGGGGCCTTAAAGTTTCTCTATCAAAGAAGCCTTGTTACTACCTATGTGTGAGGAAAATATAAAATATTGACTAAGTAGTTATTGCTTATCTATTAATTAGAAGTCAAAGAATTGGGTAATAGCATGAAAGAGACATTATGACAAGGTGGTGAGAGAAGGAGCAAAATCACTTAAACCATACCAGGCCCTGCCATCATTTCTTCTGTGTTCCAAAGTAGTATATCTCCAATTTGCATCACAGCACTTGCCCAACAGGGAACACTATTATTGCATCTAGAAAGATTAAGTATGGGAATGCCTAATTCTTCTAATTTAGTATTACTTCTAGTAGTAAAGACATTCAAAATTTATTCACAGAAAAATGGAAAACATAAAGGTAAATAAAGGCACACTAAAGTAAATAAAGGCATACAACAGAGAAACAAGAAAGTAATTTTGTAAAATGGAAAGCACAGTTTTGACAAAAAAAGAATTCTAATAACTCTTTTATGGCAATAAGTCTTTATTTTTTATACAGTATACCAGTGCGGGTAACCATCAGAGAATACACTGCTTTTTATAAATATACAGAACTGAAAAAAAAAAAAAAGAAAAACATTTCCGTGTGTTGCCTTTACTGTACATAGAAAACTAATGAACATCTTCAGGCACTAGGACTAGGAAATAAAATAAGCTATGAATCACTCAGCATTGTTATTACAAGCTATCTTTACCTGAAAGCAGAATTACAATCATTCCGACAGCACTGGGCAATTCTAAAATGTAGGTCTAGTGAAAAGTATGTACAACCAGCAAGCAAGCAAGGGACAGATGCCATGCCTGTTCTGAAAGGGCAGGCGGATTTGGAACCTGGCTCTGCAGATTTTTAGAATTGATATAGCCATTTTAACAGCTTAATATTGAGTTTCCTTCACTGTGTATGTTGGCAACCAGCAAAAGCGAGAATTTCTGTAACATGAGTGAAATAAGTCTAGGATTAAAAATGAGAACATTGTCCATATAACAGAATTGCTGCTTCACAACTGTTGCCCTGTTCTCAACTGTTGTCCTACAAAAACCACTCATCTGATGAGTTTTCTCTTATTGAATTGCATTCCACTACACATGACTAATCAATTAATTGTTGCTTAAATATTCATGAGTATATCCTGTGATGACTAATATTGAGTGTCAACTTGATTGGATTGAAGGATGCAAATTATTGATCCTGGATGTGTCTGTGAGGGTGTTGCCAAAGGAGATTAACATTTAAGTCAGTGGACTGGGAAAGGCAGAGCCACCCTTCAACTTGGTGGCATCTTCTAATCAGTTGTCATCATGGCTAAAATATAAAGCAGCAGAAAAATGTGAAAAGACAATACTGGCCTAGCCTCCCAGCCTACACATTTCTCCTTTGCTGGATGCTTCCTGCCCTCCAACATTGGACTCCAAGTTCTTCATTTTTGGGACTCAGACTAACTCTCTTTGTTCCTCAGCTTGCAGATGGCCTCTTGTGGGATGTTGTTATCATGTGAGTTAATACTTAATAAACTTTCTTTTATATATACATACACTATTTGTATATAGGATAACTAATAGGATATATATACAGAGACATATGTGTGTGTGTTTCTCTCTCTCTCTGTGTGTGTGTGTGTCTGTGTGTATCTCATTAGTTCTGTCCCTCTAGAGAACCCTGACTAATATACATTCTTTCTTCTCCATTTTCTGTGTTACATCTCTCTGTGTGTGCATGTTATGTTTATAAATGTTTGAAGTCCCACCATGTCTTATCTGCCCTAATACAATATCCCTCTTGCAATCTCATTTTGTCATTCTACTTGCTCCTCTTGCCAGTGTATCACCAAAATGAACTTTCTAAAGGGCAATTCAGATCTTGCTACTCCCCCACTGAAATTCTTCTGAAGCCCTTATACAGCCTTGGGGCTGCAGTCAACAAGTTCTTATCTTGCCCTTAAAGTCCTTGGAAATGTTTGTCTTTGCTAACTTTCCAGCATTTTCTAGTCTTCTCTACTCATTCATAAACATTTATGTTTTGGTCACCTTGACAGAAGCATCTGCAGGATATGGGGAGAGTACATACAAGGTGAGAAGGAAGGCTTCATAGAGGAAGCTTTCTGGAGGGCAGAGAGGAAGAGGGAAAGGGAGATGATGTTTCCCAAACAAGAGAGCAGGGTGAACAGAGGCAGATACAGGACTCACAAGGCCTGGTGAGGAATCAGAATGTGGTTCAACAGAGCTGAAGCTAAGGCTTATAATACAGTATATTGGTGATGGGACGAGAAAACCCCAAGTTAAGGAAAGAGGTTGAAGGATAAAATGCCAGAAATCACTTTATGCCAAGGTAAGGAATTTGATTGAAATATGGAGAGCCCATGATCGTTCTACTAAAAACACG